ATTTATTTAAATTAAGTCGAAAATGCTTGGTTGTTCGCGCGCTCGCTTGGCTGCTTGTCTGCCGTTCGTAATTGCTAAATGTGTGGTAGATTTGACAATTATGACAGCGCAGAATGTAAGATTAATTCTGCATAATTTACGGGGTTTTCCAAAGGGGAGTCCTGCCAGTAAAACCCATTATTGGGACTCCCTTGTGTCGTCTCTATTAAGTGGATTAAGTTGTTTTGTCTACCCCGGACGATTTTGGGGCCCATGGATGACCTCTGACCCGTCCTCTCATATTATCCCACTCCCACAAAGCTGTCATCGGGAGCGTTCGCTGTGATTTATGTTGGGCAATTTTGTGTGGCGTAGCTTCATAAATTTTATTATCCTGCAATTGCAAAACGGAGTGCCCAGGGCACCATGCCTAGCCTCCAGCCCCATCCTCTGACTTACTTTTTTTGCTACTGTCACTCTCTTTTTTCAAGTTTATGGGTCAGCAAATTTTATTTATTGCACACCCTCAATTGACAGTTTAGTTTGATTTGAGCAGAGAGAGTAAACTCAACTCCCTGATGTAATCAGTTAAATAGCCTTAAGCTGATCCGATATGTACAGGAAGACATTGCCAGTCATATTTATGTTCCAGAAATGAGTTATTTATTGGGAATAAGATACTAGCAGTGAAATTCTGGCAATGTACAAAACAATTTAAGAGTTTAACAAAAAAAAAAGTCATAGATTGTTTTTTTTGCTTTGTATTTGGAGTAAATGAGTTCTCTAAGTTGGTGATTGCCACACAAAAAAGCTTACTACATATCATATACAATAATATGCATTTTAAACAATAAGTTTCACGAACATTTATTTAAATGCGTTAGAAAAAGTAACTATGATGCGTTGTCAGATAATTACGGTACAGCATATCTAACAAACGCATGCCGAAGTTATAAGTTTTCAGTTTGGTGGTGAATCAATTAATGATATGTTTATCTTAACCAGAGTTTCAGTCTGAAGCTGAGTCACCGTAACGCCCTTCGTTACTGACCTCACCTAAACGCTTTAACATTATAATAGATGATTTCCGAGACCCACTAATTTCAAGCATTTCCGAGGAGCTAAGGGGCTGTTGACAGGTGGACCAAAACTAGCGTGCGACACTCATCCACATGGGACAATGTCTAAAATTAGCAAACAAATGGAAATCAAACAAAAACACACACGGTTAATATAAGCAATTTGAAAAATGAAATCAGTTTCGGTTCGATTGAGGGCACACTCGAGTCTGGGATTTGTTTTTCGTTTTCGGGTTTCCAATTAGTTTTCCATTTTGCTGCCCTGGAGCATTTTGTGAGGCTAATCAGGGACTGACTTACGACGACTCCTAGGCGCGACGTAAATTTCATTTATTCCATTTGTCTTCATTGCTGAGGGCGACGACAACACCTATACAGCAGCCGACAGCAGACATCGATAAATCAGGGTCAGGAATCGTAGACAGCAGCCGCAGGAGCTGCAGTATTCGTCCTCCAAGGACCCATGCTTGTTTGTTTTTGCTTTACGGTGCTTGAAATACCCGATAATTGATTTTACAACACCCGCAAGCAGACGGAACAAAAGCATCCTTAGGTATTTATCGGGAACCGCCGCAGCTTAAGCGAGTTTAAAGCCAGGTATATGCCCGTCTAAAATTAAACCAAAAGCGCGAAGCCCAGTAAACAGGGATCAAGTAGATAGATATTTCCTCAAAATAACATTTGGAGGGTAGGTAGCGGTAGCGTAGTGGAAACTGAGTGAGGGAGAAAATAAGGTTTGAGCTCACATAGAGAGAGAGCTACCTAAGCGACCCTCTATATAGGATGTATTTCAATACACAGCAGCGGGTTAAATAATAGGACAAGATTTAAAAAACAATTTGTCTGTAAATATATCATTGTGATTCATATACTCTTGTTTATAGTCAGTTGTTTTCAATTTATCTTCTAAATTGTTAGGTACAATAAATAAAATAATCAATTATGTTCACGTATCTTATCTGGTCGCATTTTAAGGGGAAAAGGTTACTAGTTACTAGCATTGAAACACCTTATTAACTACAATGTACACACATATAATTGAATAAAATTCTATCTTTATAAGAAACGATATACCCTTGATCCCCTTAAGAACTTCAATAAATTGAAGGACTTTTATAATCTTTGAATATAATTTATGTTACTATTTTGCTGCCCTCAACTGTTTGGCGAGAGATCGGAAAAGAGCGATAAGTAAAAACAGAGAGAGCATGCGATCCAGAGAGCCTGTGAACTATGTATTTGCATCTGAATCACGTACCGAAACTCTCAGTTTGATTTTAAACCACGCGACGCGCACAACGGAAAATCCTGGCATAAAAATCCAAGTGATCGGAAGACGGAAAAACTAGACACACGTCCTCCGTGCCTTCCTGCAATAACTAATTCATGGAAAATATCGTAATAAAAGAAAAGGAAAACCAAAAGTGGAAAAAGATAGATAAAGTTAACGTGACCAATGGAGCGTCGCAAGGCTATCGGTTCGTATGCCAAGCTAAAGGATCGACAGGAGGCGGCGGCGGCAGTAGCAGCGGATATGGAGACGCCGAAGAAGGACAATGAGAGCAGCGACTCCCTGCCCGCTTTGCGCCGCTCTCACTCCGTCCGCTCCTCCCTCCGGCGGTTGAAAAACAAGCTGCACAGTCCCGCCCTGCCAATGCAGTCTCCATTCAAGCTGCGCAGCCAGCTGCACATGCGCAGTCGCAGCTCGCGAGGATCGAGCACTTTGGACAAGAGCAAGGCGGTCAAGGCACTGCGCATGCTGGGCGATCTGGATGCGGTGGCTGTTCTGACCACCAAGGTGAAGGGCAAAAACGAATTTGTCCCGCTGAAAAGGGACATGAACTCCGATGCCTGTGACCACGGAGAGCTGGGCATTGAGCGGCTGATGTCCACATTGCCCGTGGGTGCAACGCTGCCCCGGAAGGCTTGTAAGTTGCTCCAGATCCCCGAGGTCTACTGCCGTCAGAAGGATCGTGCACCGAAGGCCACACTAGACTCCGACCTGGAAAAGACTTTGAGCGGCGAAGAATCCAGTTCCGTGCTGGCGGACATCACTCTACATGCTCAGCAGGGCATCTATGGAACGACGCGCATGCGCACAGCCACTATTCGGAAACCGATGCCCTACCTGAACAGCCGTAGGTGTCCCTAACACCCTTTTCTTTAAGTCCCTGAAAGAACTCAGAAGTGTGAAACATTGCTACCTTCCAAAAGTGTATTGTGAATTTTAGAAAGAATTTAATAACGCTAAGATTGGGAAAATGTGAGCAAGATTGATATTACCCAAAGCTAAAGAGCTAAGTAAAACTATATAGTTTTGTGACATAAAAAGTTGTTTAGTTCACGGCAAAGGTCAGTCAAACTACCCCAACGAAAAAATGGATTTTAATTGAATGTTGATTTTATTAAGAGACCGGCGTTCTACCTGAGCTTTGAAGGGGCCCCTCTAATCCTTAACAAGATGGAAACGGGTATTAAGTACTTATTTCCTTTGAGTGCAGAAAAATAATATGCTAATGTGAGAACCATTCCAAGTGCGCTTTGTGCGGGGAAGTCTTCATCATTATGCATTTCCTTCTAGCATTTGCGACTAAAAAAGTGATTCAGTGGAAGCTTATGTATCCCCCAGTTATGTTTTTATGTGTTTGTTTGTGTTTTGCCAAACTCTTTTATTGCTCATCCATCAAGTTTAGATTTGGGATTTTTATTGGTCTGCAAGTAGGTCAATGAACTATTCGAAATGGTGTGTGTCACACACGAAAATAAAGGCAGCTGTTTGTCTATCTCAAGGGTAGGGTATCCCAGGCCAGATATCCCCGTGCTTTATCATTACATCACAAAGTGATATTTCTTAGTAACTCGTTTGCATTTCTCTTTGCCATGCATTCAATTTGCTTACAACCATCGGCGAAACCCGTAAAACGAGTGGGAAATTTGAGTCGAGGATGAATATTCATTTCACGGGTGTGCATAAGCACGCAGATATACATAATACACAAATGTTAAGACAGCATAAACTGGCTTAATCCATGGCCAAATTGGATCGTTAATGTTGTGTGCTCTTGCAGATGCTACCACAGCGATAGCACTAAAGTCCCCAATACGCCGCAGAAGCTCCCCATGAGCAGCTGTTTGCGTTCTCCGGCGGTCTTCGTCCGCCAGAAATCGTTTCACACGCTCAACGAGCTGACCAGGTTCTGCCAATTGAAAGTGTCCCCACATCGGGGCACTGCCACCTCGTCGTCGTCATCATCAACATCATCGCCAGGGGCGCAACAGCAACGTCGCCACAGCCACTATGCCATCGATGGTAAGAGATCGGTAGTTCTCTGCCCTTAACCCGTATATTAGACATGAGAAGCCCCCATGAGGGATAATTAAAAAAACAGAGCCACGTCATATCATCATAAATGCTCGCTCACACAACCCATATATATCAGCTCTGTGGCAGCGAATTAAAGGCAATTGAATGAAAATTGGTGGGTGGCTGGCTTCGCTGACTGGATGGGTGGGTTTCGTTAATTCGGGTCCAGGTGGGTTGGCTGCTTTACGAAGACCACACTTAACACACTCCACTCACGCTCTAAAACACACTCAAACAAACATCCAACATACGGTTTGCGCATAATTAATTTAATTGGCTTTTGGTCATCGGCGACGGCATTCCCAACCACATAGAATAATAGCTTCGATGAATAGGAGAAAAGGGCATTTATTTTTAATATTTAATTAATCGCAAGCAGCAACGACAATTGCTGCAACTAAATTACATTTTCCACTCACATACATACAAAGCGTGGGCCCACTGGTCATTTGCCATTGTAAATATTTGCACACACATCTGCGTTTAATTTCTATTTATCCATTATTTGATTTTCATTTTTGCATTTAATTTGATATCCAATATTTATTTTTATTCAACACAAATCACACACGACACAGACAACATATTGCCGCAAGATAAACGTGACAGTGACATCGATAGTGTCAGGCTGCGGGAAAAGGTGGCCAATCCGAGTGCCGACAATAACAACCAGGACAACTACCCCGCCTACTATCCGGCTCCATTGCTGTCCACCAGTCGCTGGTCGGAGCAGCTGACGCAGCATGCAACGGTAGCCAAGATACGCACAGCCATCTCCTGTCACTCCCAGGATCTCAAGGAAATGGAATTCCTTCTGCCCCACTCGCGATCCGATGCGCAGTCCAATTCCCAATCCCAGTTGTGCATTTCGAGGCACTCGCAGCCCAAGAATGCCAAGTTGCGGGATGATCACGACGAGACGGGCTCCTCTGAGCTGGAGTCACCACCTCTGGGCGATGAGAATGCCTCGGCGAATGGACAACTTTCGGTGCACAGGCAGCCGGTACAGCTGCGCAGTAAAATCCCGGGAAATACCCCACATCCGCGGGCCAGCAAAATGTCCAAGAAACAGCTTAAGTTGGCCCAAGCCCAGCTGGACAAGCTGACGCAGAGCAATCTGCACTTGCATGGTATGGTCCACAAATCAATCCCAGATACTTGGCACGCATCGTCAGCGCTCCTTATATCTTTAAAGCTACTTACTTAGACTTGAAGACTTTTTCATAGAATTCTGATTTCTCCTTCTACTTTTTTTATTAACAGCTCTGTTCTCGGCAGTGGAGCATGGCCATCTGGAGAAGGCGCGCACTATTCTCGAGTCAACCGACGTGGATGTAAATAGGTAGGTTTTTAGCCTTGGTGATTAATGCTAAAGTGTTTTAAATCTTTAAATAATTTTTAAACTTTTAACCTAGCATCAACAACGATGGTCTTTCTGCACTGGACTTGGCCGTTCTAAGCAATAATCGCTCCATGACCAGGATGCTGCTCCAGCATGGCGCTATGGAGGGCTCTCAATGTAAGTGGATCCGGCCTGGTTGTCTTTCGACTGTTCTTTTTAACGATCAATCTCAATCTCACTTGCAGTTTCCGTGGACACCATTGGCACCAAGCTGAATGGCTTGCTCAAGGACGCCGAGTCCCGGATTCACGATCTGAGCGGGCCGGAGGGTCTGTGCCCGCCCATGTTCGCATCGCGTCCCTCCATCTCCAGCATCATAATTGGTAAGTGGTCATCCAGTCACATGGAGAGTGCACTTAATCAGCATTTCAATCTGTTCCCCGCAGGCAATTCGAGCGCCTCGGTGACCGGATGCACGGGCAGCGAGGTGGAGAAACAGATCGGCATCTGGGAGCGACGAGTGAAGGGACTGCGCCGCTTGCAGCTCGGCTGGGATCAGGCCCGGCCACCAGATGCACCCGCCTCCGTGGTCGTTGACGTCACCGGCGACAATTCCATCAGCGTCCAAATCCTAGAGCCCTTCGAGGGGGCCATCGGCACGAAATTCAAAGGTAAACCGCAGGTGTTTCAACGTCGCGTGGCTGCCACAGTCAGCAGCTGATTGGAATTGGTCTTGTGATTGTGGTTAGGCTGTCATGCTGTGATTCTTGAGTTAATTCATACTGTTTGTCTGATTGTACAATTGTCTTTTACGGTCTATTAACGAGCAGAAGCTTTTTTTCGACTTCAGGGCAAATAACATTTTTGTAACCTAATTTATTATTTTTTAAGGGGTATTAAAACGGGGTAATACTGTAAAAACATGCAAAATGTATGTCCTTTGGGCTTTTTATGTTCTTTTATTAAGCTCAAGTTTCCCATTTATAAAAATGAATTTAACTAATTGCAGTTCAATGGTCAACCCGCGCGGATTTCAACAATATTGTGGGCGAGAGTGAGTTGCTGGAATGGATCAGCTTCCATGGCACGATGGGCGCCCAGTGCCACATATCGAGGCTCACCCAGGGTCGTCGCTATTTCTTGCGAGCCGCCTGCGGCAATGTCAAGGGCTGGGGTGCCTTTAGGACCTCGGTGCCAGCCAGTGTAGTGCCCTCAAGTAAGTTTAAACTATTTTTTGAATCACTTAAATCTAAACGATTTCCCTTAAACAGCTTGGCGGGATTTGGACAATCGGGAGGATCGATTTGTGGGTCGCCACCGCATCCTAGACAATCTGTTTACCGCCGTGCGGCTGGCCAGACCCGCCGATGTCTCCGAGCTGACCTTGGATCCAGCGAGCGCCCAACGGCGCAATCCCAAAAAGAAGACCACCATCAAGCAGCTTTTCTCGGTTACCTCCAAGTTCCAAAAAACTTTAAGACGGTGAGCATTGTGGGGGATGTCAATTATTGCAATACCTTACCTACTAATCTACGTGTTCCCCGAAAACAGCGGCATATACTTCTCTTGCATTATTCACTGCGATGACAAGGTGCTGGTCACCAGCGAGGACTTTCCGCCGGTCATCGAGGTGGACGAATCCTATCCCAGTGCCCTGCACATGGACTACTACTGGCTGATGAAGGTGGCCTGCACCTGGGAGGATGTGAAGTCTCTGCGCTCCGATATGGAGCGCAATCTCACCTCCGCCGTTCACTTCCGCACCAAGCTCCTGTCGGCCGTCTGCCAAATGCAATCGGCATTGGGCATCACGGATTTGGGTCAGCTGTACTATAAACCGCTGAGAGATGCCCAAGGCACTGTGGTGCTGACCTGCGTGCAGTCCGTGAAGAGCCAGAAGACCGTGTCCATTCTGAATTCACGATGGCTACCGGTCAGCAAGCTGCAGAAGAAGCTGGGTGCTCTGCACGACGATTACACAATCAACGAGCTGCTCATCTCTTCGATTGGAGATCAATTGCACTACCAGCAGGCGGCGCTGCAGCGTTTGGAGCCGGGCCTCTACCTGGGCTACCTGAAGATGCAGTGCTCCATGGACCAAATCCAGGTGGTGGTGCCGGTGAAAACGCCGAATGTCCTGCCCCACTGCAAGGTGCGCGAGAACAGTCACATCACGGCCGAGGAGTGGCAGGTGCTCCACCGCTGCACCAGCGATCCGCTTCGCCTCCCGCTGGACTTCAGCTCGCAGGGAGGGGAGTCAGCTTCCGGCGGAGCAGCGACCACGGAGGTTCAGCGTCTATTTCTGTACGATCTCACCAATGCAATGCACAAGCTGTTTGCCAGTATGAACATCAAGGTGGCCGATGCAACCACCCACCGCCTGTACGACGTGGAGGTGATTGAGCACAGTCCGGACATCAGTTTCCTAGTGGTCTGTCCATCCGCTGAGGCCTCGTGTGCCGTGCCCGGCCAGTCGGAGTTGCTGCTCCAGAGGGACGATTTGGCCTGCTTGAGTATCCAGGCCTTTGAGATGATCCACCTGCGTACGTATCAGCCGGCCATTATTCAGAAGTATGCCCGCCTATCCTGCATCCTTGAACTGGACACTGCCCTGGCCACACACTCACTGCGCGAGGCCTTCTCCAGCAGCGAACTGCAGGCCGCCAAGGAGCGTTTGGCCACGTTGCAGGAGCTTAGTGCGAGCTTGACAATCGTGTGGAAGAGTGTGCGCTGGTTAATGGACGTGGTGGCATATGCAAGAAACAAGAACGCACAGCCCTCGCTGACGATGCGCGAAATCCTGGACTTTGCCCAGCAGCGACAGGATGAATCGGTGACAACGTCGTCGGCGGCGTGCTCAACCAGCAAACAGCTGCTCCAGCTGCCCATCCGCGAGAGCAAGTCCTCCAAGACGGGCCAGGGAAGAGGCAGTTGGCCTGGGCCAGGAACCAGCGAAGATCCAGCGCAGGGAAAGTCGGAGCATTCGAAGTCGGAGCAGAATCTAGAATTGAGGGCTATTACGCCGGTAGAGCCTGCAGTCAAACATGTTCCCACACAGCAGCAGTCCCAGCAGCATATGCAACAGCAGCAACTTTTACAAGTTTCCACGACCAGCGAATATGCCGGCTCCATTTGCTCGGAAGTATCCTTTAGGAAGAACAGTGGCGACTCCGTGAGCTCCACCTACACGTCGCGCAGTTTCTATTCCGCCGTAGACTCAGCCTCGGATGGGAACAGCACGAACAGTGTGTTTGCCATGCCGCCCTCGCGTTCCGATGACACTCTGGCGGATGCACTGCGTCACTCGCAGGCGGTGGCCGCCCAACGCAAGCGAACCAGCTCCAACATCGGATCCCATACCAATCCGCTGATCACGGTGCATGGCTCCAGTTCGGCTCCGTATCTGGCGGGGTCCAGTGCTTCTTTGAGGAGCGGCGGCCACGGCGCCTTCGCCACGGATCTGGAACACAAACCGCTGAAGCCGGCGGCAAAAGCAGTCTCTAGCGTTAACCTACGCGAAGGTGGACCTTATTTGAAGAGCACCCTAGCTGAGCTACGAGCGGTGGGTGGCGAGGAGCCGGTGGCCAGTACCTCGAAGGCTTCCTCGATGAAGAGCTTGTCGCGGCAGAGCAGCGAGGAGGACACCGCCAGCTGCTCCAGTCTCAATGCCGAACCATCGCCGGGTATTATTCAAGTGTATACCGCGTACAACACGGGACTGGCCAGTGGAACCAGCCTGAAGCTGCATGTGACATCCAAGACGACCGCCCGCGAAGTGGTCAACCTGGTGGTGAAGCAACTCAACATGGCCGTGGTGCTCAAGGGAAACAATGGGCCCGTCTACGGACCCGAAGTGCTGGAGAACTTCTGCCTGGTGGCTGTGATCGGAGCACGGGAACGTTGTCTGCGGGATGACTTTAAGCCACTGCAGCTGCAGAATCCCTGGAAGAAGGGGCGTCTGTATGTGCGCAAAAAGCACGAGCTCCTGGCGGCCATCGAGCACTCTAACCGCAAATCGCATTTGATCTGAACCATCTGACCCAAATCGCACAGGAAATGGAGAATCATCGAAGAAGTGAAGCACTTGATATAATAATAGTCCGGACGGCAAAGAGATCTCTAGAGATTTAAAAACTTAAGATGCCTGAAAGTAGGCAAATCCTTTGTTCATACACATTCAATTTGGTTTTTGGAATCCTCAGAGATTTATCGGACTTCTTCCGTTCCACACGTTGTACATTTTGTTGTGTTTCGGTTTTTGGGATCCCCAATCACAATACCCAATCACTCCCACCCCTCTTCAGGGCAATGATCAATTGACCAATTCCCGAATTAGACTGAATTACTTATGTATGCTGCAAAGGCAAACTGATGAAATTGTATTTAAAATGGTATTATACTTTGAGTAGTTATACATTCAACATTACCCAAACAAACGCAAACACACACACGAAACGGACTAAGCAAAAACAGATTGTTGTTAGTTGTTCTAAAGTAAAGAAGGTTACGACCATACATAAGTAGTATGTATGCTATAGAAATATTATGCGTGCATCAATGTATTTTATTGTATGTATTTTGTAGTTTAGTAAACAAATATTTTGATTGTATTTTTGTGGCATTTTTAGGGGCACATTTTTTGATCTAAATGTTAAATCGGTAAATACGGAACACAAAACCAAACCAAAACCAAATCGATGTCAAAACTTAAAGAGCAGATAACAATATGCATTTTAAGAGTCAATCTTGATGTCTTTGATGTGTGTGTGTGTTCTTGAAAATTGCAATTCCTTTGGATTAAACATAATTAATTTAGCTGTAATCAATTGCTTAGTATGTAAACAAAATCACCGCAACAAAAATGATAAAAAAAAAACGGAGAATATTTTTTAAAAATATATTGGCACAACTGCATGTTGAAAAAAAAGCAACGGGCAACTGCAAAGTAAAGTTAAAATGTTTGTATTTATAAAATGTAGCAGTGTGAATTTGATGTCCGAAACCTATCCACTCCACTCAGCAATTGGCTCGACGAGCTTCATACCTACTTGATAATCCTATGCCCCATTTCCCCAATCTACTCAACTGTTGGCCCACTTAGAACCCACATTATTAACGTGGCTATCTCAATGTGCAAAGCCGTATGTGTCTATAAATAACTATTCATTCTACTCTATACTCTTTCAATAGGAAATACCATAAGTAAATTAGAGGAAAATCTTCAGACACACTTGTTTGTTGTGGACCGGTAGACAAAGAAAAAAAGACAAAGTTTCATTGTCAAGCTCATGTCCCAAAATATAATATTTTGTTTCCATTGGACGACAAGTCGAATTTAGATTGGAGTCGCAGGTCGTGAAAAGTATACATTTTGAATCTTATGAGAAACTAGACGAGAACACTTACTTTAAAGAATGTGCAACACAGAGTCCATAACAGAGATATCGAACTATTTAAGATGTCTACGACCAACAAACGATTTTTGTACGTTTTCTCTTGTTTTTGAGATGTCGAATGTGACGATTTTGATACATTTTTACTATATGGTTTACCAGTCCTAGGGCTCGAAGAACAGCAACGAACGTAGCTATATATTTTGACCCCAGATATTACATCCCCCTCATGCGTTCACAGCCCGGTTTCAGATTTGTATCAGCGCCACCTAATTGCCTCGATATTCGAATGGTCCGCAGATCAGAATGGTCGAACGAACAACGAACGTAGTTGTAAACAAGTTCCAAACTGAGTAGAGTGGCCAGTTTCAGTTTGTTAATTCGGAATGCCAATTAAACGATTTCAATTGTCAGACACAGTGTCCGTCCCCAGCAGAAGAGCGTTTGGTTTTGTTTGGAGTGGAGGCGAAATTATACAGAGTATTATTTCGAATTGCGATCCAGTGAAATTAGTTTTTACGATGCAATCTAATTGTAGCTATAGCTAATTGTTAATGGCCTACAAAGAGCGAAATGAAAATGTAACCAAAAGCATTGAACGATAATTGTTGTAGTCTTTCCGCATATGAACATGAAAAACACATCAACGCAGACAATTCCTGTAATTAGATTATAAAGAAGATGAAACTTATCAAGTGTAACTAAGCCCAATGTCAGTACATTCATTATCGACTACCTGTGTACATGTTTAGTGTGTTAATGGGCCTAAAAATATACACTAATAATACACTCCAAATGTGGAGCTAAAAAGAGGACAACTAGCGTTGGTAAGGATTCAAAGAATATTCAATTAACTTAATAAAGACTCAACAATTGTTATGGTGTAATTCCAAAGGCCTGTTTTACTTATGGGGGTATTTGGAAGGTACTGGAATCCAGATAATTTAATGATATGCAGCGGAAAGTGCAATATCATTCAGGGGCAAGTCAGCCGGAACATAATGACGGGTCACATTAAATACTGGATGTGGTTTATAGTCGCCTCGTTACGTATACGCCCTGTATGGTGCTCGGCTTATCAAGCGGCACTGCACTTGGATGCGATTTTGTCTTACAAAATAGTAAAAAAAAAAAAATAGGTAATAATGATAACGAGCTGATTACGCCCGCTATAACATATAGCTACAACATTTCACCAGTTGCCAAGATAATGTCCATGGGTTTGATTGTATTCCAGAGGCTTCTTTCCAATGTTGAGGCACAATGTTGCTAATGTTTATTCTGGAGGCCGATGCGTCATCTCTGCTGGCCTGAATGTATAGCAGATACTCAATTAGTGACGAAACGAGCCCGGCGCTGTAAAGATCGGCAAACAAGTTATATTGAGTCAGCTCATTCCATTGGGGATTTTGGAAACAAGTCATTCTAATGCGAAAACAACGCGATAAGTGCGCTTAGTGTTTGTGTTTCCCGTGCCACAACGCTCTCATCTATTTATATGAGTTTTCGAGTACTTTTATTAAGATACACACAATGAAAACGGGCACATTGTCCTTGAACTATGCCCCCGAAATTACAGGTTCCGTCTCGCACCCACCTTTCTGGCCACGCTCATTAATAAACCATTCGGCCAGCAACTTCCTCCACTTGTCAATTAAATGCCACACTTACGGGTCGTGCCGCCTATTTTACCACCACTCCAATCTCAAATCTTAACTCACTTCACTGCACTCCACTCGAATACGGCTGCTGTAAATTTTCGCCACAGATTAGTTTGTTTCATCCGGACAGTCTTCACATGTTATTATTACCACTTATTGTTGTGCGATTTATGGCCAGTGGCTGTTGCACCTTGCCAACGCTGATACCATCCAAATCAGCAGTTATATATTTAATATATCTGCCGTTGTATACAATATTCTAATCAACTGCGGGAATTTATTTTCGTCGTATCGTCGGCGGGCGAACGGCGGCGGGTCAGCCACGTGATCTGGATGGGTCGTCGGGCGAGACGCGTCTGCCTCTGCTTCTGCCTCTAATTAGATTTGAGTCCACCAGAAGCGGAGAGGCCTGGGCAGCGATTAGCGGGGCAAATAACAAGCCAGCACAAGGAAATGGTAAAGAGCACTTGGCTGCGATCGGAGCATATAAATTACACCAGCTGGACGTATACTTAATTTGCAACCAGAGGTATTCAAACCGGTTGTGGGTCGGAATCGCTGACCCCCGGGGCAGCTGGATGCAAGTGACACACAACACAGCAGTAGCCAATTGCCGTTTTTGAAACGCTTTATGTTCAGAATAAGTATTGAAAAATCGTTTACAGTTTACAGTAAAATCAATCGATCGGCTTCGAATCCTCAATCGGGGTTTTGTATAACAAACAATAAGTACACCAGTATACACGAGCATACATTACAAACATTAAAACTATAGCCTAGCATCTGGTTATGGGGGGGGCAGGGGCACTAAATCTAATCGCTGGAACGCGAGGCGCCCACGATGTATCCCTTGGCGGTGAGGACGCCTCGGCAGCGGACGTGCACCTGGTAGCGCAGTGACCAGTCGATGGAGTAGTCCGGCGCCAGTGCGGCGAACTGCTCCTCGGGCAGCAGGAGCTCGGGATCGCTGTGTGTGTTCAGCTGGATGTCGTGGGCGGTACAGAACTCCTGCAGATCCGCGGGCACCACGCAGCAGGTGGACAGATTGACCTGGGCAATGGTGGGCGCCACCTGGGCGCCCTTGTGCAGCTCCTCCAATGCCGCCGCATCCAGATCGGCTATGCCCAGCTGGGTGATCTGCTGCTTGAGGGCGTACTGCTCCAGGGTTTGGTACAATTCCTTGAGCTCCGACACTCCTTCCTCGCCGTTTCGCAGGCTCCAGGTGCTGGCCTTGCTGGCCGAGATGCCCTCAGAGCAGGGGGACTTGGGCTGGCCGCCTGTTGTGGCCACCGGCGTTGCGCTGGCAACCGCATTAGGGTGGTAGGCCAGCACCACATTGTCCACGTGCGTCACACTGAGTATGTTGAGCAGCGCCTCCACCGCCTGGTTCACACACTCTGTAGAGTGGCGATTGAGGAATATCTTGGCGCCGATGCTGATCTCATTGCGGCCGTTCTCCGTCAGCCGGGTGGTCAGCTCCTGGGTGGCTCGCTGCACCCGGCCGTGCAGCTCGTCGATCTCCTTCTCCACCACCACGCGCTCCACGCTGGGATCGCTGTGGAGCGTTATCTTCAGGCCGTCGTACAGCTCCTCGTTGGACTTGCGCTGGCCCAGCTCTGTGGTAATTATGTTTCCCGTGCTAATCACCACGTTCTGGTACTTCTTCGTTATGGTCGGAATCATGATGACGGTGCTCTCTGGGGTTCTCCTTTTTTGGTATTTGCTAAGCTCCGCGACCGCCAGTACAAGTGGGTGAAACGCGTGTGTTCCCGACAACCGAGCGCCTGGCCACTTAAATACACTTTGCACCGAAATGTGGTGAAAGAGAGCCAATGGTGGGCGATAGTCGATAGCACAGCGCGAATCTCCTATCGATAGATCGAAAGGGATGTAGAAATTCTTAAGTTTAATTTATCTGGGAGTTGAAACTCGTTTCAGATCATTCCAATTAACATTGTATTTTTAAATCATTAAAAAACCTTTATTTGCTTTCGATTTTCACTAACAATGTTTAGAGTTTTCTTAAAAAGAAAATTGAATATATTTCAGAAGTTTATTTATTAGGCCGATATATATTTCGGTTTTCTAGTCCAAAAACTGATCATAATCAAAATACAGCGTCGAGAAGACCTAGTAACAAACATAATAATCAAATCGGATGTAAAATTATAAAATAATTTTTAATGTCGATAAGCTTATAGAAATCAAATTTGGAACCGATACAAAGTGCCATATCGAACCAGATATTTTAACGGTCGTTTTGCCGGCTGTCAAAAATGACAGCACTAAAAACATCCAAATTTCGAGAAAAACTTAACGCAACGCTGGAGAGTCGAATCAAACGACTGGAATGTGCCATCGAGCTGTACGAGAGTGGCTTGTGCTGCTGACCATGGAGAAGTACATAGGAAGGTTTCTGGACCGGGGCTACGACAGTATTGCCCACTGCAAACTGATCTTGGGCAGCGATCTAATTATGCTGGGAGTGGATGACGCTTCGCACCGGAAACTGTTGCTGGACGGAGTTCAGTTTCTGAACAACGCGCCCGAACAATTCATCTGCATGGAGCCATGTGAGCTGCATCACCAATACGAGACTGATCCGGAAGTCGATTCTGCCATCTCCGAATGCTTCAAAAGTTTTAGTTTCGTGAAGGCATTGGGGGATAAGCCCGTTAAAAGGGCTTTAAGCCAAGCATTCAACAAGTTAAATCTTCGGGAACTAGTTGAATCAGATGGCTCGACACCCGAGAAAGGAGAAACTTTGGCTGATGAAGAAGATTCGACCGCAGCAGTTCTGTCGTCCCTCGATTAATATCCGTCAAACAACCCTAATCAAAAAATGAAAAGCTTTAAAATTTGTGTTAACCAAATAATATTTTAGAGCACTGATTAATAACTTCTTAAGCAAAAAATGTATGTTTGAGCTTTAATAATAAACTGTGACTTCTAGTCAATAATATATAATAAACCACTCTTAGTGTTAATAATTAAGCTTTTATACATTTATAAAAACCAATAAACTTATTTGTTTTAGCTGTTTTAATTGATTTTATAAATACATTCAATCAACAAAGCGTTCATATTATAAATGCAACGCTAATATAGAGGAAGATCCTCCTGGGTTCTAAATACATACATATTTATAGGTACCAATAAATATTGGAGAGCGCATGCCAAGAAACTCACTTTTCTTGGGGTCTTTTAATAGGAAGGAGCTTATTTAAATGTAATCAAAGGATTCAACAAGGCGTTCAACAAGTACTTTATGCCCCTCATTAGATCCTGGAGGCGAGCATCCATGGGCGAGGTGGCCACAACCCGTTCTATGCTCGCCGATCCCAAATCCGGTGACTGGCAGTCCACGCACTCGATGGTTTTTAGGTGTACCTGCACGTTGTCCCCCAGAAGCCGTGTATTGTGCAGAGTTCCATAGAACAGGACTATATCGCCTTCGTTCAGGAGTCGGGTAAAGTTGCCAAAGTCATGGTGAGCTCGTAGGATCACGTTGGTGGTAGTGGAACGGCCCAGCAGACGGCTAGCTTTCTTGCTGCCCACTTTCACCAGCACTTCGTACTCGTAGTGATTCCAACGCTGCAGTGTGCAGCTTCCGCTCTGCACCTTCAGCTTGATCACGCTGCGCCACTCCTCGCACTGGGCATCCATCTTGGGATCGCACCTGAAGTGCTGGGATATGTTCTCGCCGTGCACACAGCGCAGCATTCTGCCCAGCCACATGGGCAGATAGTTGGCAATGACATCCTCTAGCATGTTGGACACCCGCGAGATCTCCACTCTCGTAATGCTGCCCTCCCAGGTCACTGGCATGCCATTGAGATGGGAGCAACGCAGCTGCGCCTTGATCTTGTTCGGCTGCTCGTGTATGGGTTGGGCACAGAGAGTGTGGAACCGTTCCCACTGCAGGGTATCCGTTTCGGCGAGGGCGTGCAACCCCACTCTGGGCATAGCGTTGAAGCGGGGCGTGTCCTTGAAACTGGATGTCATGTAGGGAAAGACCAGTAAGCAGGCTGTCGTAACCGCCATTAAAAGCTGCAAAACAGTCATTAATAAACTTACATTCCTAATAGTTTAATTTGTTTTAATAACAATCATTCACCTGCAGCATGGTGATGTATTTCTGGGTGGCTCGGTTCAGGGCGAGGACGCAGGATAGCACCACCACCAGCCCGCAGGCGATGGCCGTGCTGCCCCAGCGCAGCTGCTCGCTGGCCAGTCCCAAACTATCGATGGCCACAAAGACAGGCACGAGCAGAGCTACGATCCCGAAAAGAGGCAGGAACAGGACGATTCCGGCCAGGCCGAGGGCTGCCCGCATCACTCCAAACATGGTGGCACTCTGCGAGGTGGCGATGCACACTTGCAGCCAGCTGAGCGTAACGCAGTGAGGGATGAGGTAGGTGTAGACTCCATGCCAGCGGGAGCGTTTCGCCATCATCACCAGCAGAACAGGAATGAAGAGGTACAGGGCGGTGCGGCAGTTCAGGCAGAACTCAATCCCATTGCCAATCACAAAGGACGAGAAGGTGGGCACGCGTAGATCCAGGAAGCGCCAGCGAGTGGACACAACCTCGTCCATCTCATACGGATACTTGGCAAGCACATTCACGGCAAAGGAGACGATCACCAGCCAGTCGGGCAGTAGGTGGGAGGAGGCGTACATGGACACGCCCATGGTGAGGAAGGTGAAGGCCCCGGATACAATTGTCAGCTCCGAGTGCGGCAACCAAGCGTCGGTTACCAGCGGATACACGATCAGGTTGCATATGAAGGCACCAAAGTAATACAGGTATGGCTTCATATTGTTGCGCAGAAAACGTTGCTCCGCAATGTCCGCCTCAATGTTTTGATCTCCGTAGCTGAGAAACAGCCCCGACCAGATGCGAAAGTCGACGAACTGCTGCTTGGTCTTGAGCATCTTGCAGGTGGCCCAAATCATGATGCCCAGACTGAGGTAATAGCTGACCAGGGGCAGCATGTGGCGGGTGCTCCACCAGGAAAGCGCCACCAGCACACTGCAGCGCACACTCAGCGGGATGACATTGGGTATGGAGACGATCAGGTTGAGCAGGCGGTGGTAGAAGATGGTGAAAAAGATGAGCGGGTGGAAGATCATGCGGTAGAAGCAGGGCACATGGTCCAGGCTCCTCGGATCTGGCACGGACAAAGTGAGGGCATCGTTAACGCTGGGCATCTGTCCGGCACTGTAGTTGGAAGCAGCCGAAACCAGGTGAGCCTCGGTGATGAGGCGTCGTCGCTCCACGTTGGCCACGCCAATTGTGGGCACATCCTCCAGGGGCTCGCACTCCGGCTCCTGATCCTGCTCCCCTTCGCTGCTCGACGAGGAACGATCGTCGTCGCGTCGACGCCGCTTACGTTGCAGGTTGTAAATGCGTCGCATCTTGCGCTCCAGCTGCTTGGGCGTGATGTGCTCATTGCCGTTTGACAGGCAGGCAAAGAGCTCCCGGGCTGCTTTTCTCGCTGCTCGTTCGCCGGGCGTCATGGCCAGGCAGCGACGCACTTCATCCGCGTTCTCCGCCGTAATGCCGCTGCCATCGTTGTAGCACTGCCGGAGCAGTTTGGCCGCATCCTCGTGGCCATTGTGGGCAGCACTTACCAGCCAGTTGACGGCCTTCTGGTTCTGATTGCCCTTGGCAAGATTGGGTTCTGCATGGAACATGGAAATCTTTGACACCCCGCCAAATCTCTAACAGATCCTTCCGCTTACCAATGGCATTGTCGAGCAACTCCTTGGCCAGATCGTATTGCATCTGGGGACATCCCTCCTCGGCAATGTGATGCTTCAGTTTGTTCAAGGAGGCGCGATCTGCAATGGGGAATATATCCATGTTTGGAACATATTTCACTGCCATATGCTTTGAGATATACCTTCCAGATTCCAACGCCTACGCTTCGTGACACCTGTGGGCTCATTTTGTGTCCAGGTGGCCATCTAACTGGAGTATTTTCGGTTTGTTTACAAAAATCTATGAAATTCAGTCAAGTTGCCTTAGTGATGGCAACGCTCGCCAACTTCTAATAGAGATGGCCGAAGTTAGTCGATTAACGATTAACGGAAAAGCATTTGTTTAAAACTTTAAAATGATTTAAAAAAAATGTTTATTTATCCAATAATATGTACATTAAAAATTTAAATTTCTTAAATATTTGATTATCAAGGTTTTTGGTCGTGACTATTAATCGATAATTTTAAAAATAGTTGAACTGTGACTTCGATATTGCGCCACCAGCAATCGCCTATCGAAACGCACACATGCCGGCGAAATTGTTTAGTTTCGCAAAGATTCTTGTTTGTTTATTGTTTATAAGTGAGTTCTAGATAACCACTAGCTAACGAAATGGAAAGACCCCTGCAGAAGCAGCTGTACGCCATTTCGCGCGAATCCTCTCCGGGCGTACGGAGATATAGCATGCCGGCGGCTTCGGCAGACAGCACGCGAAAATCCTTTTTTGGCGGCAACGCCAGCTGTGCCCAGTTGCCCGGAAGCCTCAAAAAGACTGCCCTGACCAACAGGTAGCTGTTGCACATCCACTTGTGACTCCCCACTAAACATAGTGATTCATTTCCAGCCGACTCAGCCTGTCTGTGCGCTCCACTCAATCGATTCCCGGCATCCGCTCCGATTATAATGTGGTGGAGAGCTTTGGCTGCCCACTGCCCGTGGTGGTCAATGAGGCTCTAACGTTTGCGGGATCGGGAGCGGGCACAGTCACCGCCAAAGTGACCCAGAATGGTTGGGCTTGGGTAAGATATCGGACTCCCCTGTGCAACAGGTTCACAAACTAAAAGGTTACATCTCTTCCAGGTTGTCCAGGGCAGACGCCTCTTGATTTGGCAGTACAAAGACACGGCCAAGTTGGGTTCGCCACCTCGCTTGGGCAAACCTGGTAGGCGTGGCGGTGGCCTGGCCCAGTGCCGGGAGCTGACCCTGCCCTACAGCGACCTGGGTCACAAGAGCGACTTAGTCAGCGTTTTTCAAACGGAGGGCCAGCAAATGGCCTCCTGTATTGCCGTTTCCGCTACCGGAGAAGTGCGTTATTGGTCGTCCATCGCCCACGATGGGAACTCTGTTGATCTCTCGATCCTAACTGGTCAGGAGTTCGTTCAGCTGCTCAATCTGCCAACGCAACAGGGCTATCTAGCCGTTACCACCACCTGCAATTTGGTTTTCCTTCGGGTGGGCCTCACCAATGGACGTTTTACACTTCATCATAAGACCATTAAGCCGGCCACTAGTTTCCTCGGTGGATTTAGCAAGAAATTCGCCTCCATTTTGATTGGCATGAACACGGGTGGGGACAAGGATCAGGTTAGTATCTTAAAAAAGACATTCAAGACTATCCTTAAGAGTATTTGTTTGCAGGCATTGGTTGGCATGTGCTGCGAAAGCAATTCCGAAAGTGGAGAAACAGTAGTGGCCGTGCTCTCGGATCGTGCCATCCAGCGTTGGAGTCTGTCCAACAAAGGCAATGCTGAGAATCTTCTGTACGAGGATGCAGAGGTGGTGCGCAGAATACGTGAAGAGTTCAAAACCAAATTCTGGAATGTCCGTTTGCCGGCGGACAATGTGGAAATCGATCTGCATCTGCTTGACTTTCACTTGGTAAAGAACAAGGTTTATATACTGGCTGGAGCTGTAAATGCTGCTCATGCTCCACAAATGTGCTATGCTCTGGGTAAGATTAAGGTTTGACAAATAATATTGTTGTGTATATATATCGTATTGCCTTTCAGTGACAGCCAGTGCTCATGCGGAAAGTATGCTCCTGGAGTCGTTCACGCCGCTTAAAATAAACAAATTCTTTAATGCCAAGACCGAGGAGGATTGCCTCAGCCTGCGCTTCGTGGTTGGCAGCAGTCACATCTATCTGTACACGCCGAAGGTGGTTTACCCACTGCACTTGTCCAACTCGGTGCCCACAGCGGAGCTGGAGGCGGAGAAGATCGAGTTCCATCTGCATGACGATCGCATTTTGAGTGCTGCCATATGCAATCAAATACCATTGTTCTTTAGCCGCACCCATGGCTTGATTTCAATCACTCCAGGTGATTTTGACAGCACCGAAATGATGAACATGAGCTCCTGCAACACACCGGATTTATTCACACCCAATTCGTTTAGCGCCAGCTTCGAAGCTCCCGACCAGTCTCTGACTGCTCTGACTGGCAGCACCAATAACCTGCACCTGTTCGAGCTGGATCCGGATGAAATGTACAACGAACTGAGCGACGAGGTGGGCCAACTTAAGGCAGCGTTCCTCTACCACCTTAAGCGCAACCACAACATGGTCAAGACAATTGTCGGAGAGCTGCTGCGCAGCGTGTCTGGAGCCGATCCGAATGGAGCACCCATGGATGCCTATAAGTTGGACAGAATTGTCATCACCATTGCCGAGGACTTGGCCGAAGATATTCCAATATCCGATCCGCGCTGGGAGGAGGCCCTTGGAGATCAGGAAAGCAATCGGCATGCCATTGGCAGTTCGCGTTCCATGCAGATTATCAATCAGTTAAGGGACAAAATCATTGCTTTTCAGCATTTCGTCACATTTCTGCATTCCAGTGGAGTTTGGGAAAAGGTATTAAGCATTAAATTAAATATTTAGAAAGCTTCATATTAAACACAAAGTTGTCTATTTCCAGCTCAATGCCATACCTTGCGGTAGTCATTTGCTAAAGCCCACCAGCTTCATTCTCTCCGATATCAGCGAGAAAATAGTGGCTGCCATGGCTCTACGTTCGCTGCAGACCAAACTGCCGAAGTTAATCGAAGAGGCCATAGAGGCCACCGTGGCGTTATGGGATGAGAAGCCACAGGGCAGCCTAACTAGCCAGGATTTATTCTACGTTAAGCTAACCAAGTTGCAGAACGTTTTCGAGGCCCTAGCCGACATTGCCGACGATCGGATTGCGGCCCAGAGTCAGACCACCGTGTCAGTGGCCCACTTTGTCAACGACATTAACTCCATTGTCCTGGACACGCTGGGTCAGGTGCTTAGGCATCGGGAGCAGCAGGCCAGTAGCTTCAGGCTGAGCAACGACAAACTGTCGTCCTACGAGAATCTGCCCTGGACTGCGATGGCGGGCAGTGCCGGTGTTCGCGACACTTTGACCCGCCTCATCGACATCAGCGTTCGGTATGGCGGCCACTGCGTTAGCGAGACCGAGTTGAAGCAGCAGTTGTACCAGCAAATATTCGAACTGGTCGATCTGGTGCTGGATGGACGAAGAACCTACTTGGAAAGCGTGCGGGACTCTGAGAAGTTAAATGTGCTGCAACAGCAGTTTGAGGCTCAGCGCAGGGAACTCATTTCGCTATTAAGTAAGTAACAAGTATACTGTGAAGGGTAGATTGCAATATATTCTCATGCATAATTTATAGTCAAAGATCGACAGTATGAGTACGCCGCAAAACTGGCCGAAAAGTACCTGGACTTCCAGAGTCTGGTGCTGATCTGCGATGAGACGCAGGACAAGGATCGCCTGGATGACTACACCCGCAAGTACGAGGAGTTCGACTTCTCGCAGTTTGCCATCAACTGGCATCTGCGTCAGAACCGGCACGGCGAGATCTTCGAGCGCTTCAAGGGCAACCAGACGGCTCTGGCGCAGTTCATGCGCGACCATCCGTCCCTGGGCTGGATTCAGCTAATATTCAACGGCGACTTCGAGCGGGCGGCCAAGGTGCTGTACGAGCTGGGCCAATGCGAAACGGAGTTTGTTGCGCGTAAGAAGTCCATGCTGTCGCTGGCCAAACTGGCCGCCTTCGCAGCAGCCGAATCCGATCTAACCGCTCAGGTCGAGAAGATCAATGCAGATCTTACGCTGGTCGAATATCAGTCGCAACTGGGCCATGACGTGCTGTTAAGTTTTGGCTTTGACTCGACGGAACAAAAGGTTCTCAAAGCAGAGGAGATAATCAACGTAAGGCAGGTCTAGTTTTGCATTGCCATCTCTGTTACAAGTTACCCACTATCCACAGCTCAACATTGCCGAGGAAAATGACACGGCCACGGAAGTGGAGTTCCGCAAAGCTCTGGAGATTTTGAGCTACGTGGAGCAGCCCTACGAAATGCGGCACAAGATCTGGTGTGCAGCCATAAAACGTGATAACTGGACGGACTACGATCCCAACAACGCCGTGGACTACATGCAAAAGTTGCTCTTCTTCAGGATCATCGAAATCTCGCAGTTGATGGGCCACGAGACCGAGAACTTCTTGCCACCCATGGAGGACTTTCTGGAGAGCGTGGAGCTGGGCGAACTGCCGCAGCAGAAACCGTTCCAGTATCTTTTAAAGCTGACCTACGAGTATGTGGCCGACATGTTCAGGCAGCCAGACAATATGGAGCTCTAATCGTGCACCCCTCACATGTCATTTATTAAAGTTTACGCTAAGAATCCGAGATGATGGCTGATGTTCTTAACCGGTGGACAGTCGTGCAGCCTTGTTGTGGTGTCGCTCAAACGCTGGCATTATAATATATTATAAACTAAGTTGCTTTGTTACCGCGCGGCGCTGCCGGCGAAAGTATCTGAAGTGTGGCGAGTGGAGAGTCGGAGAGTCGGAAGCCCGCCAAGTGTTCGGGGCAGCCCTGCTGGCTGCATTTGCCGCCAGTGTGCATCAGTTTAGCTCTGATCATGACGGACGAAACAACGCCGTTGACCAGCGAGGCCGCAGCTGGAGGCTCCGGCTATGTCGTCCTTCCGCCCTATCAAGGACCCGAGCGTGTCTTCCCCGGTGGTGTTTCGCCGCGCTCGCGTCGCAACAAGATGCGGCAGTTCCAGTGCTGCATGGGCATCACCTTTATGTGAGTGCGACATTGTGGACATCTGTGGAAATTAACTTGAAAAGATTTATTCAAGTGGATTAGGAGATAAGGCTACTTTTATACCGTGTGCATTGCCTTGACTGCAAAACTTCAAGGACTTTTGAACAAAGTAACCGTCAGGACAGCTGAATTACTCGTGATTGATTAACATATCAATTTCGGTTCGGAATAGTGAAAAGTTTCTGGGAAGTTTTAGGAAATGTTACAGGTTTTAAACCCACTAAAATGCAAAGGCTTAGTACACCATTTAATGTACAGTAAATGGGTTTAAATTCCATTCATCCAAATAGTAAACAATTATGGTTTTATTATGAATTATTATTAGGAATAATGGTTTTTTAAGCGATTTAAATGGAATTCTATTTTATTAACCATTCAATGTAAAGTATTTAATTTTCCTTGATAGAGGCTTTTTTAAAGGGAGTACTTTATGCCCTTTAACTTCATAGAGAAATTTTAAACAATAAGAAACCAATTGTTAGCCCCCTCCACCGGGTTATTCAATACCCCAACGTTTAGTCGGCGCCTAACCACACCATGCTAACCACACAGTGATTTCACTTTTCCGCCCGCAGAGCGATTGTGTTTACCGCCCTGTGCTTGGCCCTGGTCTTCAGCGATTCCCTCGGTGGTGCGGACGGCGGTCCCAGTTTCTTCTTCGTCGTCAATGGAACGGATGGGGAGCTGCAGCCAAACAGACCGCTGCCAGACGAACCGGCGGCAGATTGGGCCCTGCGACAGGCGGCACTGAATCACCACGATGGCGCCCAGGCGGTGAGTGTGGGCATCAAGGCTCTGGGGGATCGGGAGATCCTGGAGGAGGGTCTGCGACCGAACGAGGTGAACACCCCGGCCTTTCGACACTACCGATCGCTGAGCACAAATCCGGAGGCAAGGAAGCTGGCACGACGTGGCTACGTGGAGAACCAGGCCACCATGGACATAGCCAGGAGATTCAATTACACCAAACGGCCGGGACGCAGCGATATTGGCTGGGGACCGCAGATAGTGCTGCCTGATCCCACGGTGCTCCGGTTGGAGTGCGATTTCAATGCGCGCTACAGAAGATCCACGGGGGTGTGCAACAACAAGCAACACCCCCGGACTTATGGAGCCTCCATGGTGCCCTACCGCCGCATGGTGTCTCCGGACTACGCCGACGGCATTGCTGCCCCCCGGGTGAGCCACCACGGACGCCTGCCGCCTGCTCGCCAGGTCTCCCTGCAGATCCATCGCTCCAGCTACGAGACGGACTCGAACTTCACAGTGATGCTGGCCGTCTTTGGGCAGTTCATGGACCACGACATCACGGCCACCTCGCTGACCACTTCGCAGGAGGGTGAGTCCATCGACTGCTGTGTGGCCGCCACCAGGGAGCAGCATCCGGAGTGCTTTCCCGTCGACATCCTTCCCGACGATCCCTACTACAGGCAGTACAACATCAGTTGCATGAATTTCGTGCGATCTGCGCCGGCGCCAACGGGCAGATTTGGTCCGCGGATGCAGCTGAATCAGGCCACGGCTTTCATCGATGCCTCCGTGGTCTACGGCAATCTGGAGCAGCGCCAGAGTCAGTTGCGCAGCTTCATCAACGGCTCGCTGCGAATGTACCTCACGGACGATGGCAGGCAACTGCTGCCCATCTCCTCGAATCCCGCGGATGGCTGCAATCGGGTGCAGATGACGCGCCTGGGCAAGTACTGCTTCGAGTCCGGCGATGATCGGGCCAATGAGAACCTGCTGCTCACGTCCATGCATCTGCTGTGGGCCAGAAATCATAACTACGTCGCGCGACAGCTGCAGCAGCACAATCCCCACTGGGAGGATGAGCGTTTGTATCAGGAGGCGCGCAAGATACTGGGCGCTCAAATGGCCCACATCACCTACAATGAGTTCCTTCCGGTCCTGCTGGGCAGAAATCTCAGTGAGACCAAGGGTTTGCTGCCCAGCAAGCACAATCTGAATGCCCCGGACACCTATGATCCGGAGGTGGATCCGAGCATTGCCAATTGCTTTGCTGCGGCCGCGTTCCGCTTTGCACACACCCTTCTGCCGGGATTGTTCAATGTGTCCAGGGACAACAGCAGTCCCGAGGCCATGGAGCTGCACAAGATGCTCTTCAATCCGTTCTCCCTTTGGGCGGAGCATGGCATTGACCATGCCCTAATGACGGCGGCCAATACGCCGGTGATGCAAGTGGACCGCTTCTTCTCGCTGGAGGTCACCCAGAAGCTATTCGAAGGCAACGCCGAGGACAAGGTGCCTCTATGCGGACTGGACCTGGTCTCTTTGAACATTCAAAGAGGTCGCGATCACGGGATACCCTCATATCCGGTTTTCCGGCGCCATTGTCGTCTGCCCCCGGTGGACACGTGGGAGCAGATGGCCCAGGCCGTGGACAACTCCACACTGGACTCCATCAGGCAGATTTATGAGTACGTTAACTTGGTTGATCTATGTAAACTGGTGATTATTTTCTGGGCATCCCATTAGATCCCCGCAGGATGTGGACGTCTATACGGGTGCCCTAAGTGAGCCTCCGCTGGGAGGGGCCATCTTCGGTCCGCTGCTCAGCTGCATGGTTTCCGATCAGTTCCTGCGCCTCAAACTGGGCGACTCCCACTGGTACGAGCGGAAGATGGGGCCTCAGAAGTTCACCAAAGGTGGGTGACCCACTATGTATACCCTTGGCAGAGGATACTATAAATTTTAGTGTAAAGTGGGCAATGCAGAGAAGAACTAACGTTAAAGTAACGTTTCTAAGCTTTAAAGCTATATGAATTAACCTTTTCAATAGACTTTTCTCTATAAGTTAAAACAGACCGACTTATCATATAGTTCCCATAAAAAAATCCTTTTTTTTAAATTATAACATCGTTGTTTTATAAATTATAACAACATACTTTAAGAAACCATTACTAGTTTACTGTTTTAAAACTACGGTTCAATTTAAGAAAAATCAGACAACCATAGAATGTTTTGTATTCATATAAGCATCTAAGTATAGTCGTTTTGAATTTAAGATTTTTTATTTGATAGCTTTATGTGATAGCTTCAAGGGCTTATAAACTATGACCTGCCGAAGTACGTTCCCTCTTGTGTATGAAAACACAGGCTTACAAATTTAAATCTCCTTTTTCGATAGCTCAACTAGCGGAGATCTACAAAACCAGTCTGGCCGCCATCATCTGTCGCAATTCAGATGGCATAACCCGTGTACGGGAACACGTAATGCAGCGACTGCGGGAGAAAGACAATCCTCAGGTGAACTGCCAGGACCTCGAGGGATACCATTTCAATTTCGAGCCATGGTCCGAATCCGAGCACCCGCAGGAGCTGCACAGCACAGGAATTAATAGGGGAACCACTTCGGTGCGTGTGATGTCCGATAGATCGACTACGGTCAAGGAAAACCATAGAACAGCCAATGTGCCTCTTCACATGGCAAAAGGGATCTAGTTAAGGTAAAAATAATAAATTGATTGAGAAGAGAGGGTTATGTGGTTATGTACAATTAACCATTGCATATCTTAAAGGCGGGGCAGTGCCCAAGTTAAACCCATATTTAATAAACACAACTTTGATTTTTTTGTTCAATTTATAGGAGCAAAATCTCAATAAAAGTTAAAGTAAAAAAACGCCAAATCAATAACTTTTTCAAATTTATTTCTCAACCTTTATACCTTAGCTTAAATAAGAAAATTAAGTATCGATCGGCATTAGACAATTAAGAGCTTTTAAATCATGGAATAAAAATATTCAAAGAGCAAAAATTCCTTCCATTCGATTTTTTAAAGAGTATTGTTTAAAGAGAGGCTTTTTCGATTAAGAGATGCTTGTGAATATGGTTTACAAGATTGAAGTGGTTATCAGTGTCAATTTATATAATAAAATACATTTTGTACTCTTAAAATGTTCTCTTTGTATAATTTCACAATTCTGCTTCTGTTGTCACGAAAAATTTCTCTGCCTGGTGATAAATGGACGGCTATTTATAAGTTTATCAATTAAGCGTTACTGGTAATCCATTCAGTTACTCTGAAGCTAGCGAAATTTAAAACTTATAAACTATAATTTTTAAACAAAACGTTAACCAGCAATTGCCATAGTTTTACAAATATGTTATCAGAATCATCGTGCTCTTTTTGGGTTTGAGAACCTTTTCCTATCTACAATGACATAAACAATAATCAAAAGAGAACACAGTATTATGCCATATCAGAATTGATTATCGTAAGAGAACGTTTAACTAATAAGCGTTGAGTTTTGCCCATATAAATTGAAATCCAGCTCTTTGTTAGCCAGTTCAATATAGACTAGCTTCGCGTAACGTTCGGGCTAGAAAATCGAATCGATTGATCATGTTTTCGCTATTTTTGCTGGCGCTGTCTCTTTTGACATTGGCGTGGTTCTATATTAGGCACCATTATGACTTTTGGGCGCGACGCGGGTTTCCCTACGACAAGCACTCTGGGATTCCGTTCGGATGCTTGGACAGCGTCTGGAGGCAGGAGAAGAGCATGGGCCTGGCTATCTATGACATCTATCGAAGGAGCAGGGAGCGTGTGCTGGGGATTTACTTGCTCTTCAGTCCGGCGGTCTTGGTCCGCGATGCCGAACTGGCACGTCGCGTGCTGGCCCAGGATTTCGCCAGCTTCCATGATCGAGGGATCTACGTGGACGAGGAGAAGAATCCGCTGTCCGCCAGTATATTTGCCCTACGCGGTCAGAGCTGGCGGGCCATGCGGCACATGCTGTCGCCTTGTTTTACCTCCGGCAAACTAAAGGCCATGTATGGCACCTCCGAGGATATTGGCGACAAAATGGTGGCCCATCTGCAAAAGAAGCTGCCAGAGCAGGGCTCCGAGGAGGTGGATCTGAAGAGTGTGATGCAAGACTATGCCATCGACATCATTGCCTCGACCATCTTCGGCCTGGACGTGAATAGCTTCGAGAACCCGGACAATAAGTTCCGCAAACTGGTGTCGATTGCAAGAGTCAACAATAGGTTTAATGCCCTATTCGGTATGCTGATTTTCCTGGTGCCCTCGTAAGTGATCCTTTTACTCCTCTTGGTTTATTTAATCCAATTGATTGTCTGCAGCATAGCCAAGTTCCTGTTCAGAATGGGACTTCAAAACCCAGTTGGTCTGGCCATGCTGGAGATTGTCAAGGAAACCGTTGAGCACCGCGAGAAGCACGGAATTGTGCGTAAGGATCTGCTGCAGTTGCTCATTCAGCTAAGGAACACGGGCAAGATAGAAGAGAACGAATCCTTTAGCATACAAAAGACACCCGACGGTGAGTGATTAACAGAGTAGTTAAGGTTAAGGTTAAAATAACTATCATATTCGATGTTTACAGGTCACATCAAGGCCATTTCACTGGAGACCATTACCGCCCAGGCGTTTATATTCTACATTGCTGGCCAGGAGACCACTGGCTCGACTGCAGCCTTCACCATCTTTGAGTTGGCCCAGTATCCGGAGCTGCTGAAGCGCCTGCAGGATGAAGTGGACGAGACGCTGGCCAAGAACGACGGAAAGATCACCTACGATGCCCTGCACAAAATGGAGTTCCTGGAGCTGTGCTTCCAGGAAACCATTCGCAAATATCCCGGTCTTCCCATTTTGAACCGTGAATGCACCCAGGACTATACTGTACCCGAAACCAACCATGTAATACTGAAGGGCACCCCAGTGGTGATCTCGCTGTATGGTATTCACCACGATGCCGAGTACTTCCCGGATCCCGAGAAATACGATCCCTATCGGTTCGCCGAGGAGAGTCGCAACTACAGTCCCACCGCGTTTATGCCCTTCGGCGAGGGTCCCAGGATTTGCATTGCCCAGCGGATGGGTCGTGTGAATGCCAAGCTGGCGATCATCAAGATCCTTCAGAACTTCAACGTTGAGGTGATGAGCAAACGCGAAATAGAGTTCGAGAATCACGGCATAGCCCTGATGCCCAAACACGGAGCTCGAGTGCGTTTGTCCAAAAGAGTGCCCAAATTGGCCTGAACCCTCCACACTGATGAAATACAATAGTTATAAGTGGCAGTTAATTCATTTTTGATTTAAACCAATCCCTTATCGCTGATATGATAAATAATAATCCCGTTCAGCAAATTGTCAAAACATTATGTAATATTTTGTTGATAATTTGTATAATAGATCGTGTAAAAATGTTTAATTGATTAACATTAATTTATACAATAGTTGTAGGTCATTACTAACAAAAATCGTACCTTTAAGAATTAAAAAAATTTAAATGTTGTATACATATAGTATTCCTGTTATGTTTCTTTTAATCAGATTGTTTATTCATATTTAAGTATTCATTTGTTGGGTTGATGCATTCCATCGATTTACTTTCGTATTTTATTGAAATTCTTAAGGTATCTTATCGCTATCATTGGATCGCAACGACAGAAGCCCACTGCGATTACTGACTACTAAGTCCACAAAGAGATACCATATACTAACAAAATTATATACATTTTTGTCAAAAGAATGTTTATTTAAATATAAATAAACCTGACTAAAAGACACTTTCGATTATTGCGATAGAAACGTTGGTAGGCAAGCAAAATGTTTAATTTATAATTACTTCTTCGATTTTTGATACATTTTTTTTATTTATTTATCCCTATTTATATTTAAAACGCACCCAAAAGTCAGGTCAACAATTTTTATTGAATGCATGCCAGTGCTGTAGAATCTTTCGCAGTTCGAAGAGTCATAGGTAAAGATATATGTACAATAACAAAACCAGTGTGGTAACTATCCAGTCAATTTCCATTCCAGTCATCCGATTGTTCCGAATTATCAGATTTATTTGTTCTCAAGCTCCTCCAGTTCTCTCATCTCCTTCTCATTCTGCAGCATTTTCTGTTTGTTCTTTTGCCGAAAGATTTCCTTGCTGGCCTCCTTGATGGCCTCGAATATTTTGGCCTGCGACATGATTTGCTTTTGTACATTCTCCACGGCGGGTTCGGCATTAATATCGATCAGATCACTCAGACCCTCAGACAAGTATTCATTGTTATAGGGCTTGTCCTCGACTTCGTTGCGTTTGAATATTGAAAATGGCGGAAACGAGGGGTATGTACGCTTGCGTCCACATCCTAAATACATCTGCATTAAAAACTTATAAATATATATGTTTTATGGACCCTAATTACCTGTAAAGGCATTGCAAAATGGTCGCTTTTCATACTTCCATTGTATAACGCCACTTAGTTTGTGCTGCAAATAATATTAAAATAATTAATTAAAATAAAATCACAAGAAACATTTTATGAAATTGACGAAATCTGATTTAAATATTAGTTAATACCAATGTAGTATATGCATTTACATATTATCTTTATAAAATATTGCAAAGCTATAATAAATTTCATTATCAATTTAGATTAAAGTTTGGCGTGCTTCTGACTAATAACATTACGTATGTTCTTGTGCTAATGATTAAGAACAACATAATTTCACCATGGCTTTCCACTTTTTTGCTATAGTTATGAAATAGTTATTAAAGCTCACATTTGCCATATTATTGACTTCGTTGTTTTCCCTTTCCAGTGAAGCCTGACAGGAGATCAAGCAAACCCAAAGCGCCACTAGTCTCAGCGAAATTTTAATAAAAGTTTTCATGGCGAAGAAGGGTGCTTTGTACTTTTAAGATGGAACCACTTAGCAAACCGACGCGCTTAACACTCGGAATATAAATGAACGGAGCCGCAGCTTGGGCCTTGGTCAACATCTCGGCTACGCAATGTGAGACTTGTTGCTTTCAGAATGCGACAGGACCTCCAGCTGGGCCTAGAATGTATTTTGGTTGCCACTTAATGGCTTTTTGTGTTTTTCCCGACCTTTCCCAGGCGGACAGTCCCCGCACAGAAATATTGCATTGACGTGTGAAGGATGGTCCTTGCCCTTGCTTGCAGAGGGTGTTAAAAACCACTGCAAATTCAATTTAAAACTTGAACTAGACTTGAACTTAAAGCGTGAAATCGTGTAGAAGTTTGCAGATTTCCCCCACATTTCGGCCAGTGTAGCTGCAATGGCCACATTTCGCTCGCGAGCGAACTGAGACGAGTGTCTATTTATAAAGACCCGATCCGAGATGTCCGAAAAAACACACTCACAGATCGCTCATATGCCACAGAGCAAGTGTGCATTTTCCGAAAGTTTTCCTCACACTTCCACGGGACTTTTCCGAACAAACAGTAGCCATTTCGAGTCGATTCTCCACCGAAACGGTTCGCGTGCTACTCGATCTGCGGAATTCGAAAATTGCATGATCTGGAAAATAAATAACCATTTATACTCATCTTCGGAATTTTGAATAAACAAAACGCATCGCCGCCAAGAGATATAATTTGTAGCATTAGTTGAGTTTTGGACCTTTGTTTTTCGGCTTTCCCACGAATTGGTGTCGAAAGCAAAGGAATTTCTGTGTCACTTCTACTAAAATAGCATGTGAGTAATTTGGAAATCTATAAATTATGCCAAATTAATGAGAATACCTATCATTTAATTTGATTATGGAGACCAATTTCTGTCAACTGATGCCGGAGAAAAAACTTGAGAAATCGTTTATATCACATTGCATGCAATTTCGTGTTGCCAGTGAGAATCTTCTGTACCTTGTTTTTGTCTACGTAAAGTAAAAACCTAAAAATACCACGGCTATTTTGAGTTTTTCTCACTTTTACTGTCACACTTCGGTTTGACAACTTTTCCTCTGTCCTGTCTCTTTTTTAATTGTCGCCGGCTACCGCTTTTCCCTTTCTTTTTTGCTTTTTGTTAATTAAGCGAGAGCATTGCTAAATGTTTTTCCGCTTCTTTGTTTATATGAAACATCAAATTCCTTGCATATTTCTCTTGCCGAAACTGTAAACACTTCAGCACGCCTGAGCGGTAATTTGCGCTGAAAATTACAACATTATCGTGAGCAGATCGTAAAAAATAATTTTTGAATAAAAGGTGAAAAGCCCAGCAATTTTATGGCCCTGTCGAGTGACGCTGCTGCTGCTGCTGCAGCCAAAGTTTGTTGTTTGGTCACATACACAGTCATTTATTTATAAGCATTCAATTTATTTTATTAATTTCCCCACTCGCCTATAAATAGACCGAAGATGTCAGAGCCCGCAGCCCAACAACAGCAGCCCCAGAATGGAAAGGAGCGCTCCAAGTCCACGGAGGAGAAGGAAATCCCACGCGAACCGGCGCTGGTCCTAAAAGACATTGACGTAAGTTAGAACACATACCACATATGCAACTACATGTCATAAATGTATGCCATACAAGCCTATTTAAGAGTTAATTTAGGCAACTGAACATTGCTGACAGCCGAAAATCCATTAAATCAAAAGTAAAACGAATTTCATTGCAGTCAAGGAATGGAACCGATATTTTATAAAACCATATGATATAAAACCATATAAGGCAAAGAAAACGCGACTTATAAACAAAATGTGTGGTCTGTATGGCAGATATATGACAGCTTTAAGATATAGACAACCAATTTGGAGCAAAAACCAGCAATCTATATTTAAATTTTAAAAAATAAGTGAAGAATGAAGTGAGAATGAATGAAGTGAAGTGAGATTAAACGTTTAGATCTGATTGTTTGGTCCCATTTTACAATACTCTCTGCAAGGGTTCATCCCCCAATTTTTCATAAATATTAATATATATATTTTCATTATTCTAGAAAATTGTTTAAAAGATTTTTAGATCAAAATAATCTTACTTGTTCTGCCTGTACATGACGAACAAATTTGTCGTGAGCACAATTTATTGCCCATTTGTGAAAATATATTCGTATCATTAAACTGAAAGTTTTACAAAAATGGTTTTGAAAAGTGAAATATATCACCACAAAATGAATATTTTGTATATAAACGAAAACAAACATTCCAAGTTGTTTGAAAACAAAGTTATGCATTTTATATATTTGCATTAAAATGTTTAACATGTGAGAACGCGATAGCCTTTTTAATAAAATTATTCTTATTTCGAATTTAAAAAATGTTAAGATTATAATGTATTGTCTTTTGCTCGAAACAGATAAAGACTGAACTAGAGAGCCTAGTGAAACTGCTGGACGGCAAGATCTACAAGGAGGAGGAGGTGGCCATGGAGGAGCTGCATCAGTATTTGATCGAGGACGATGGCTCCTGGGCGCTGGGCGACAACTTCCTGGTGTTTGTGCAGCGCGTGCTGCGCGACAATCAGGCCTTCTCCCCGGACACACGGATACACTTGATCCGCACCCTGGCCTATGCGGCGCTGAAGGACGATGTGATCATTATTCTGCATCAGGATCGCAGGGATCACACGCTGATGAACTACGCCCAGGACATTGACAAGCAGACGCCCGAGGAGCAGCAAGCGTGGGCCATGTTTGTGAGTAGATGTCCATTTTTGATCTGAATTTTCCATTTCATTTATTTGCGTATAAAACAGATGTGCAATCTCTTCGAGAACCTGGGTCCCTCCGAATGGCTGCTGTACATTTCCGAGTGGGAGTACAATGGACAGACCATCTCCAACATACGTGTGACCACCAAGGTGGCCGTCCACTGCATCCTATCCAATTGCCCGCAGCTCAAAAACATTGGCAGCATGATCCTGTACAACATTGCTATCAAGGAAGTGAAGACTGTGGTGAGTGGGGAATTAAAGCCTGACCAAAACACATATACTAAGGATGTGCATTTTCAAAGGTATTTGACGATATTGCCGTGGAACTGGCCATGGCCATTCTACAGTTCTTCCAGAGCAGTCCCAACGAAGACCAGATCTTCCGCACATTGAAGGCCCTCGCCCGCTTCCTCGAGGTATTGACCCATATTCGATTTAGCCATTATTGACAGCTGTCATACATTCGCAAATATTTGTTTTATTTTTGCAACTATTTAGGTCTCGCAAGACGTGCCGATGATCATTCAAATGATTGGACCGCATCCAAAACAATTCGCCGGCAAGAGCGAGCGCGTGGACGAGCTAATAAAGATCATTAGTCGCAAGGTGCCCGCCTAAGGGAGACTTCCAGAAAATAAAAATAAAAACATAACCATAGTTGCCCTTTTTCTAATCTATATATATATATATATATTCTAGACCTTCACTTTTGTAAAGCATTTTAGCGACTCAATAAACATTTGTACCCCCTAGAAAGGTCGACTACATGGCTGCATCGCCGCAGCAGAGTTTTAAAAAGGGAAATCCATTGCCTCCAGTGGCTCGTAGTTGCAGCCAGTGCTTCTGATTGGAGACGAACATCTCGGAGGGCAACTGGGTATCCTGGGCGGAGGCATCCTCTGCGAAAATAAAACTTCAATTCTTACCAAACGGGAAAAAATTGCATATATGGGATTGGCACAGAAATCACTTGGTGTGTGAAATAACTTACATGGGTGCCTAAAAGTATGCATTAAAATAAAGAATGCCATATTTCGCAGGAAAGTCCATTAGATGTCCGTATTGTTGCACACTTTTTTTTTTTGGTGATTTTTTATGACAAAGTATTGAGTAGTAAATAATAAATTACCCTTTTCAATGCGGTGACTAAATTTTTTAAGAACTGGATCATCTAAAAACAAAAAATGTCCACAGAATCAGTTAAATTACACCATAAATTCGTTTTTTACTTATGAAAAATATGAATTTTTGATAAAATAGATAATAATTTAACCATTTTTCCGATTTTCACTAAAAAAAATCAATTTTTTGGCTACAAAAATGATATTTTTTGGAAAAAAGAACGGAGGATTTAAGACTTAATTTTGAGGTGTTTAATAAGCCTGTCAAATTTCAAAAAGAACGGTTCAGTAGTTTTAAAGTTATTTTGGTCACCGCATTCAATGATGCCATTTCGAGAAAAACGCGCCTTATACTTAAAAAATATTAAATGCATAAAAGTGTTTTCGAAACCCTTGTGATTTCTGTAGCACCCTAAATAGATTGTCAACTTACGCGCTTTTTTGTCGAACTTGGGCGACTGCGCTATGGAGATCACGTCCTCGGGTTTGCGGAGCAATATCTTGCCCACGCCCTTGCACATTCGCAGCACCTCGTGGTTGCTCAGCTTATCCAGCTGGTCCTCATCCAACAGAGTGCAGGCCAGTATCCATTCGCGCACATCGTCGAAATCGTTCAGCAATCGCACTGCTCCATTCACGCTGAAGCGGATGCGTTTCTGGTAAATGAAATCCAGCCAGGCCTCGCAAATGAGCTTCAGGATCAGCTTGAGTATGACAATGTCCTTGGTGGCACGTATGGTGGGCAGGTAGATCTCGTCCAGCACATAGCCCACGTACAGGCTCTTCTCCTCGTTGTTGTAAACATCTCGCTGCCAGAAAGTGGCACCGGGAAAGCAAAGGGTAAAGTTGGCCAGGCTGAGGACTCGACAAACCGCTGACAGGATCTGAACACACTCGTCGGTGGTTTTCTTAGGAGCAAGATAAATATTTGTATGACTAGACAATTTCTAGTATGATATTAAATTCTTTAATTTAATGTTTTGTATTATATAATATTTCGTTTTATGATATACATAGCTGAAGACAGTAAACTTTGTTTAGGAAATTTAGGATTTTTTCCAGGAATGTGAGGATCATTTGAGAGTTATATTTGTGGACACATAAACTGGCATAAACAATTTTTTTTAGCGAGTACCAAAGAGGTTCAAGTTTCAATCGATCAGAAATCTCTCACACACCCCTTAAACAATAAATTT